GTGGCTAAGGCACTTGACTGCTAACCAGTGGGGGTTCAAACCCATCAGCCACTCCTCGGAAGGAAGATGGGGCAATCTACTTCCGTAGTGATACTTCCTCAGAAACCCAAGGAGGGGTCGCTATGAGTCGGGTCCGACTCGATGGCACATAACAACAACAAACAACAATGTTTAGTTAAACCTGAAAATAAACCCAGGACCATCAGGTGAGTTCCAACGGAGTGAATCTTTAGGGCCGAGTAGAACTGGCCCATGGGGTTTCCGAGGCTGTCAATCTCCATCTCATCTTTCTCCCGTGGAGCTGGTGGGTCCAGCCCATCAGAGCGCCTTGTTTTTAGTTACAGGGCTAATACATATTTGTTGAGTGAATAAAGCTGTGTCCTGCTGAGCTTGTCAGCACTTAGTTTGGGTATTTGCAAACTTCAATGCAGGTTTTCCTAGTTCTGATGTGGGTATGTGGTTATTCCTTTGGTACGTCATAGATGAAGTTTCTCTCTCTAAATGTGTCTTTGGATCGCTTTTTGGGGGTTCCACGAAGTGGATTTAAAGAATGTTCTCTCTTCATCTCTTTGGATGCTTAAAACCAAAAATGTAACATTAGGTGGTACAATCATATCTGCAGGTTCATCAGATCTGTCATTCAGAATCTAACCTTTGGCAGTACAGTCATGTTTGTTCAGGTTTGTTGGATCTGTCATTCAGACTAACATGAGCCGGTACAGTTGTATCTGAGTTCGTCAGCTCTCTCGGAGCAGATGGGTGGGCTCGAACCGCCAAACTTTCAGTTAGTGCTTACCATATTTTTTTCCCCATAAATAACACACCCCTTAAATAATGCACATGTGTATAATGCCCATAGCACATGTAGGAGACTAATGGGCTTGGTATAACAGGTGCATTATTTGTGTAAAAATGCAGTAACCATTTGTGTCTCCAGGGCCCCTTATTACATGTATGTCTGCCACAAAACAAACATACCAGTGGAACCTGTGGTTGGGGTGGAAACAGGATTGACAGCCACTGCTCCATATTCCTACTGAATCTGTTGTCAGATTCAGGAGGAATATGAAATTCTGATGAGCTTGTGTTAAAAATTTCACCTTGGTAGTCAAGCTGCCCTGTTTTCTTCATATCTAAAACAATGTTTGTTCTGTATGGTTTGAAGTCATGTGGGTCCTTATGAAAAAAGAGCAAACTCACTGCCATAGAATTGATTCCAGCTCGTGGCAGTTCCATGTACTACAGGGTAGAAGTGAGCTACGTAGGGTTTTCTCAGCTGTAATCTTTACAGAAGCAGAGCTCCAGGCCTTCCTTCCACAGCACCACTGGGTGGGTTTGAACTCCAACGTTTAGGTTAATAGTTGGGCCCAAACCATTTGCACCACTCAGGGACCTGTTTGGGACCTTGGCCCTCTCTCAATATTAGAAAGACAATGTTCTTTCTCACCTGTGTGCAGGCTCTGAGCTTGGTGATACCTGAGACTTCAGCTGTATTTAAAACTGCCTTCCCCGATGCCTAGAGTCCAGCTGTATATAAAAGAACAAATCCCCCAGGACTTGGTAAGGTCTGTTTTAGGAATATAAAGATGTCTGAATATTGCCTACTGTTTAAAGAGTGTCCCAAGCCAATGTCCCTCTTGAGAGTTTTATTCGTCTGATTACACTTTAGAAGTCCATTTATACCGTTTTCTTTGTACCTAGTGGCCCC